AAACATTTCTAATTTGTAATTTTTTATTTGTTAATTGTTAAAATTGTTATGATGGGTTTTTTGGTTCAATAAATGTATACTTATCGGCCACAATTTTAATGTTGATTTCCTTGCGAACTGTGATTTTCATAATTTTTTTTTGGGATATCTCTTCAGTTGATGCTATGGTAAAACTTTTTATTCTGAAATATATACAGGGTGCAAAAGTAAAAAGAAGTTTTTATCCGAAATTTGTAACATCCTGTGGGGTCAACAATAACAGCGGATGTCAATTAAAATAATACTGTAGTCCTATCTTTTTTTAACATTTTGTTTTTTTTTTTCGTTATTATCTCTGTTATTAACGAAGATACGAGGTTTGTTCAGAAAATAACGGGAATTTTCGTTTTTTGAAAAAGTATTTATTTATTCGTCTACATTAATGTTGTCGCCTTCAAAATAGTCCCCATTAGTAATTATGCACTTGTGCCAGCGCTTCTTCCAATCCTCGAAACACTTTTCAAACTCGATCTTTGAGATAGCCTTTTGTTCTTTCAGCGATGCGCTTTTAATGACATTTGTGCTTGCAAAACGACGGCCCTTTAAGGTTCTCTTTATTTTTGGGAATAGGAAAAAGTCACACGGAGCCATGTCTGGCAATTATGGAAGCTGGGGCATCATTACAGTATTGTTTTTGGCCAAAAATTCACGAATAAGCAATGAAGTGTGAGCAGGTGCATTATCGTGGTGCAGAAGCCACGCGTTTCATATCCAAAACATTAAAAAAAAAAATTATGGCATGCGCCAATCGATATGCAAACATCATCAGCGACTTCTCTGATTGTGATTTGGCAATCGTTCATAACCATTTCTTCCACTTTTCCAAGTTTTTATCGGTTGTTGATATGCTTGGGCGTTCGGGGCGTTCGTCATCTTCAACGTCTTCACACCATCTTGGAAACGCTTATACCCCTCGTATACTCTTGTTAGACTTAATTTCATTTTTTTACGCAAAATTTGATACAAATTTTTTGATCCATTTCTTTTAACGAACAAAAATCGCCGAGCTCATAAAAACTAGTCTGACCTTAGCGGCTGCCACAGACAAAGTAAACTATGAAAACAGCTAAAGTTTTTATCATACTTCAGGGCATGTATATCAACATAATAAAGAAAATTTTATGACAATCGGACTCTCCGAGCCCGTGAAATTCAAAAATTCCCGTTATTTTCTGAACACACCTCGTACACTGTTTTAAAGTTAACGCCTTTTATAATTTATCTTTTAAACGAAAAAAGGTATCGACATCGGACAAAAACCATTGTCAAGAATATGACATAAAATTAATAGGTGACCATCTAAGGTGCCAAAATGACAGTATTAACTTAAAAATTTAAAATGGGAAGGGGGGCTTGTGGTGCCTTATTTTAAAGGTATTTCGATTCTATATTCGATCCTATTAAAATTTTTATTCTGTGTAACGATTGCTAAGTAATTGAGCATTTGATTTTTTTAAAAGTAATAGATTTTCTTGCCGCTCCAGGCAACTACCTACGTTGCCTGTCCGGTAAATCCGGCAATGGCGGTAAGAATTATCGTAAATCTGTATCACCATTTAATTTTGTAAAAAAACCTATCAGTGTAGTTTTAAGGCGATTTATAATATAATTGTTCTCTTTAGTCTAACACTAATTATAATTAACCGTTAATTATCGGTTGTGCCTTCAATTTTACTTTTTATTTCGTTGGAAAATGGTTCGATCTCGCCCGTTTAAAAAAAACAAAAGCAATTTTTATTAATGCTAAATTTGGACGTAATTTGCATCAAACAGAGAGAGTATTTAATGAAAGGTACCCAGACAACCCTATTTGCAGAAAATATCTACGCAATCAAGTGACAAAATTTCAAACAACTGGAAGTGTGAGTATGCAGAAAGAATCGGGTGGAAAATCAATCTCCAATGACAAACAAATAGAAATAGTCGGTTTTGGCGTCAATAGTCAACAACAATTGACGGCGGCAGTTGCAGGGGATAATTATATAGCAAAATCAACTGTTATTTAATATTAAATTAATAAATTAAATATTACATCAACTTACTGAAGATGACCTGGTGCAAACTGTAAAAAATAACAACTTTACATGCGTCAACACCAAACTGTGTTATTCCAAGTCCATGGACACATGTGCACACGAAATCGTGTAAAAAATTTGTTTTGTTTTTTATATCGTGTAATAATTTACACGAAGAATAATTAAACTTTAACACATTGTTTGTGTAATTATAACACAACTTTAGGTATTAAATTTAACCCCGGTTGGTGTTATTTTTTAATATTTTACCGTGTTAAATTTAATAATAAATTTAAAAATAAATATTACTTGTTAAAAAATATTTTTTTATTTAAAAAGTAATTTATAATTTCAATAAGACATAATATTATAGTTGAGAGAAGGAGTAAATGTTAATCAATGATATTATATTATAATATATTTATATAAAACAAATTATCAAAAACATTTAAAAAAACAAATTATATTACTGTAGAGTTAAAAACTGTTCTGGGTTAAAAAGAAATAGTGCCCTGCTTAGCTAAAAGGCCGCATCTACAATATTAAGTAATAAAGGACACAAGTGATAAGTGTTGAAAATTTGCTTACCTAAGAAGATAAAATTTCATGGGCTACTGGCAAATTTGCTATTACCCACTTTGTTTTGAAAAGTCGAAGTTTAAATTTCATATTAAATATGTATATGGATGTATTTATTTACGTTCTAACACAAAATAATATTTTATAAAAAACACCAGCACAATATATCTATAAACGATCAGAAGGCAGGACACGCATAAAACAAGCAAAAACAATGGCGATTAGCTTCGGCACTAAGGGTGGGGAAAATTTTACACGATTACACTTCGTGTAAGATAACACGATATTTATTAAACATGAGTTTATAACACATTAACGTGTAAATTAACAAGAGGTTACACGTTTTAGTGTTCTCAATTTAGGAACATTCGTGTAAAAGTATTTACACGATTTTTACACAAAAATTTTAACACAAAAAAAAATGTACACAGATTTTTTTTGCTCACACAGATATTTTTTGCTCACATAATACAAAATCCTCTGTACTTTCAATCAATTTGTTTTAGTAATAAATGCACTTTTTATTTAAATAGCACTGTTAATAGGCAAAATGAACATTACTGGTCAGATGTTAATACAAATGTTTTTCGTGAAGTACCCAGTACCCACAAAAAGTCAATGTATGGTCGGTACAACTGAGAAACCATATTGTAGGAACCATCTTTTTAAAATTTAACAAGCATCTTGTACTTAAACATGCTTCAAACACAAATTCATCCAATGATTCAAGATATAGCTCAAGCTAATCCTGACTTTTGACATGAAAGTAATATTCCAACAAGGTGAAGCGCCCGCACATTACTTTGAGATGTTAGACAGTGGCTTAGTGAGACTTATTCAAATATATATACTTTGAATTGGTAGGTATGGTCCTACCGAATGGCCGGCTCGGTCTCCTGATTTAACACCACTTCATTTTTTGTGTGGAGTTATTCAAAATTGAAGGGCTACATTACCGAACCGGAATCAATTGATGATCTAAAACAACGGATTAGACGTTAATGTGCCAATATTACAAAGAAACGTTTGGAAAATGTCCAAAGGACAGTTACACTTCTCTTCTGAAGATGCCAACATCGTTGGCGAAAAGTACTTTAAGCACTTTGTGTTTTGTTTTGGTATTGGAGAATATTTATAATATTTGTTTAAGTTTAGTTGATAAAACCTGATTTTCTACCAAAGTTTAGTTAATATGCCTAAAAGAAATGGTCAATTTTTGTTTTAGGTTTGGTAAACCATTGTATGGTATTTATGTTAAACAGGTGCGATTTGGCGTCTTTTTGTCCAGTTTTGTTAAGCAATTTTACATTTTTACAGACCTAATCTACAAAATTAATTTCCACACTGATGATCACTTTTAGCAAAAAATTTACTTCTTTTTATTTTAAGTGTAGTTTTCGCTCGTCACTCAATACTTTCAAAATCGATTGAATACTGCTCCCAAAAGCGAAAATACACTTTTCAATTTGGTTGAATAATTTGGTTGATTCAACCAAAGTGAAAAGTTTATTTTTCCATTCAATGAAAGTGTTCAACCAAAGTAAACATTGAGAAAAGTAGAGCAAGTTTCTACTTTTCGTTTAACTGATTGTTCAACCAAATTTAACAAGTCTATATGCACGTGTTGAACATTGAAATTGTTTCTTGTTGAGGAAATCGTTTCTTGTGATTTTGTGTAAAATAATAATAATAGTAATAATATTAATAAGGTATTATTATTTATTAAAAAGTTTCTAAAGAAATATAAGGTCCCTTGTTGCGCATTACCCACGGTATAACGACGTCTTCTCCGTAGTTTTTCCTGCACTTTTTTCAAGTCCTCTTCACATACCCCGAGAAAATGTTACCAAGACGATATTTTTAAACTTTGAACGCTAAGTATTCACTTTTATTTTGATACGTTTAAAACGTGTATTTTACCTGATTCAGGTGAAAAACAGGTTTAAAACGTTTATTTAATTATTATTCTTCAATTTGGTTAAATCAACCAAATAGTTCAACCAAATTAAATAGTATATTTTCGCCTATAGTTATTCCCAGTTCGTGTTGTGGCACCAAATCACGGAAATTTTTTTACATTTTCATGAAAGATTGATGGTTTTGGGAAGCCTATCTCTTATCGTCTTCCAAGCGCTCTCTACCTTTTCAAAACCGGTTTACCCACTTGTTTTTCTAATCATAGTCAAATTTTCACCTATTGCTCAAACCACACCAAAGTGTAGTCTCCCATCGTATTTTCACTAGTAATACCACTAGAGGTCAAATTATTTCTGGAATTTTTTTCGAGCTCATGAATATTTTGAAAATTATCCCGAGTCGAAGACGAGGGATAATTTTCTAAAAATATTCATGAGGGAGAAAAAATTTCCGGATTTAATTTGACCTCGTGTGGTATTCGGTAAGAAAATTCCACACCAAATTGTGTTTAAATAATTAAAATTTATTTTTTGATTTAACTTGACCTCAACTTGATTATTTAGTTACCATGGCAACTAAGTCAACCCCAACCTAAAAGTTATTTCAGTTTTGAAGCTGTCAAGCGGCACGACGTAAAAAAATGTTTCGCTTCGGTCAAGAAAGCAAAGGAAATATTCGCCAGGAGATTAAGCAGTTGACACCCGCGAATACTAGGAAATCGAAGTCAAGCGTATGGAAGCAGTTTACAAACTTTTGCGCAGAAAAATCGTATGATTTCGACAGAGCGGATATACATGTAGAAGAACTGGCGCTTATTCTTGAAGACTATGGGTTCAGCATGCGAAAGAAGAACTCCGAAGACTACAAGGAGAGTGTTATCAAAGTTTTATGGAACTCCACAGCAAAGCAGTTGCAGGAATATTTTTTCGAAAGGTATAATCGCAAATTTAATCCATTCTCTGACATAGAATTTGTGAACGCAAGAGCGGCAAAAAATGCTAAGCGTCGGAAGCTACAAATGGATCCAACCAAGAGAAAGGCAAGTTCATCCGCACTATCAGCAGACGACCCAGCAAACAGAACCACGTTTTAATCACGTTTTTTTTTCGTCCCATTTCGCCGAAAAGACGTCTTTTTAGGACGTAAATATCACGTCACTATGACGTTCAAATGGCACTCTTCTGAGACGTCTTTTAATTACGTAATATACTCGTCTTTTAACTACGTAATATACCTGTGTCTTGGTATCGTATTATTTACGTATAAAGGTAACATGCAAATAAAAGTATATACCATGAAAGAAAAATTTATTTTATCACATTTAACAAACATAATACAACAAAAAACAGTCTTTATAAAATTATTAAAACATTCTTAAATATATAAATTTTTTTTAAACATAAACAGATAATTTTAGCTAACAGTCTAGGCTGTTCGAAAACAATTTTGTAAATGATGAAAAAGAGACAATGTGAAAGTTACAGCTCTTAATATTAATATTAAGAGGTGCCGCATCGCAAATTTCAATTTCCCATTTGATTAACAGGGAAAACTTTGGATTTTTTGAACTCATTAATGGATAGTCACATTCATAAGGCCGTAGCATATCCTTGTAGGGAATTAAACGCTGTACAAAAAAGGACTCTAGAATTAATAATTAATTATTACATAAAGTTATTGTTGACTGCAACAAGCTGATACCGATCTATTCATAGATTGATCAGTGCTCTAACATAAATTCTACCATTAAAAAACAATTCTACTTACCAGTTTCAAAAAACAATCTTTTGACCGCACAAGTTTTCCAATTGGCGCCTGTTTTCTCCTGTTTTTGAAGTGCTAAATTGTATTTATGTTGTTGTTTATATGGTGGCCATTGTACATGTTTTTTTCTCGGAGTCAGCCATCTATTGCATACAACAGCTACTCCTTCATCGTTTTCAAATTCAATGCCAACAAACATGTTAACTATAGCTATTTAACTAGAAAAGGCACTATAAAACACATCACTCTCAAAAAAGAAATACAAACCATTTAAATAATGCCCACAAAACACAATATATATCAATAGTATTGATTCAATACTCAATAGCAATAGACCAAAACAACGCTAGGCTGGCAACATAAATAATAGGACCACGCCGAGATAAAGAAGCCGCCTACTTGGCCTACTCGGCGCGCGGTTTTACAGCCCGCGAAATTTGAAAATATCATTTTTAAAATACTTGGTTTCCATTAAAAAAAGTGAAAAAAAATATACAATTAAAAAATATAAATGTATTGATAAATATAAGGGTTTAATTTTAAAATCAATAAATAAAACAAAAGATTTTTTAATAAACTTATAAAAAAAAATGTATTGCAAAGTACCTAACAATTAATAAATCTTTTGTTTTATTTATTGATTTTATAATTATAAAATTGTAAATTTGTAATATTACAATAAATACAACATCAAAATAAGGGTTTATTGCAAAAATTGTTAAGTTATTTAAAATTTAAAATAAACACATAAAACAGATGATATAATAAAATTATTAATAATAACCGTTTTTAAGCAATACTTAATTATTTATATTGTTTGTTTGTTTATTTAAAGTGATCATAAATAGAATACGTACCGTGCCTAAAAAAATGGATTAATATGGACATGTTATTCAAGGAGAAAAAACGTGTTTTTGAAGTAAAAAAACATTTTTTTTATTGCTGCAACAAGAATATAATTGTTGTAATACAATATAATTGTTAAAATACAATATAGTGATTATTATTAAGCGAAAACTAATTAAATTATGCTTGTTTAGTACGTCAAGAAAACACGTAATAGTTACGTAAAATAGTATACGTGATTTGACCACCTAAAATCAACGTGTTAATCACGTACTCGTCGCGGATCTGTTTGCTGGGGAGTTGAGAAAGATTATTGAGCTTTGGGACGAAAACACTCCGGAAGGATTGCAAAGAAAGTTCTTTCACATTTCTGCTCATGAATTGGCCTGGAGAGGAAATGAAGGAGCGGCAGCAACAATAGAATATTTTGTGGAGGAAATTGACAATCAAGGGGAACCATTGAGGCGGTTAAAAAAAATGGCTGACAGTAAGTGGCTAGTACCGAATAAACTCAATAAAGAAATTTGCCCAGTTAGACTGTTCAAAAAACTAACAAGCAAGCGAACCGTTTATTTTTAACTCCACATCCAAACTGGCAGCACCCCAATTCCAAAGGCTGGTACAAGAACAGCCCGGCTGGACAAAATACAATATCTTCCTGGTTCAAATCGGCGGCATCATTGATTGGAATCGATGTCAACAAGATCAAGATAACAAATCATTCTGCAAGGGCCACTGCTGTTTCAACTTTAGCCAAAACGGGAATTGGAGAACAGCAATTAATTAAAATAACAGGGCATGGTAGCAGCCACTCCATAAAACCATATCTGCAAATAGATTCGGGCCATTAGGATATAATTGACGCAATCAGGTATGTTTCAACTTCTGCAAAGGTAATTAAAGAATCTCTAAATCAAGAACAAGCAACTACTTCCAGTCAACCTGCCATGGTTTATAATAATTGCGTTTTTCATATAAACAATAATTATAATAGTGAAAATATATAAATAATTAGATTTTTTATTACTTGTAATCACTTATATTTAAATAAACTCCTAGAAAGAAAGAAAATTTGTTTCGAATTGTTCACGAATATTTGCATCTAAACTATTCAAAATTCAGTGCTAAATGGAAAAAAGGTGAATAGAATAGTGTCTAAATATTATATATATTTTATTAGACATTCCATTCCAAGTCCTGCATTTTCGCCATTAAGAAGAAAGGAGGTGTCCAAAGAATATAGAAAACATCTTAGCTTTGTAATTGAAATGTATCAAAATGATCATGTAAACAAATAAAAACCAGATTGTCAAAAAAATATTCTGCCTTATAAACGTCAAAAAAATTTCCAGTATAATTCGCTGTTAGGTACCCACATAGAGAATGGTTTTTCTATAGGTACCCACGAGAAATAAAATTTCCACTAAAATTCATCCTTTGCCATGGTGATCTGTCAAAAATACACGTTTTGATTGGTTAAAAATTACAGGTGTGGAATTTTCACCCATAATATAACAAGTGGTATGATTATCATCGATGATATTTTCGAATTGAAACCGAGCTGCAGATTTCACGAGTCCGCAGGACGAGTGAAATGTGCTGCTTCGGTTTTAATGAGTAAATATCATCGATAATTAATCATACCACGAGTTATATTTAGTGAGAAAATATAATGAATTTTAGGATTTAACGAATTTTTAGTTTGACATTTGAAATTAAAATGTGCTTTAAAATATAAAAAGACTTTAATAAACCTTATTTATTCAAACTTACCTTAATTTCATTATCGTTTACACCAACCCATCGATCTTTTAGAGTTTATAATTTATTATTTTATTGATATATATCAAAAACAGAATTGAAATGACAACAAATGTCAAATCAAAAAAACGTCAAAATTCATAGTAACGTGTAAACAAGATGATAAAAAATATTGCCGCTGTGATAAAATACGTCACTATGGAATACTGGCATTTTATTGGTTCTAATATTAATGAATTATATTGTCATTATAATTTATTATTATTATTGTATGATGTCCATAGAGCCATAACGTCTTAAAAGAAACGTTTGCCATGTTGCTATGTTGTTTTTAATGGATTAATGGTTTTAAATTATAAAGAAAGTTAAAAAATATCAATTGCACATGAAATTCATACACAGTATAAATAAACAAAAGTATACATTATAATTTTATAATTAATTATAACTAAAATTACCAGATGTTATGGACACATTTTAGAACCAATTATACGTCTAGTTTGAATATGAAATAAAATTATATTTAAAACTCCGTATTAGTATCACCACTATCAAAGCCAGCTTTTAATAGGATGTGGATATTTTTCCTTTATTTTCGTGCATGATAAATTAAAAAATCATAAAAGGAACCCAAATTAAGAAAAACTTGTTTTATCCGAGTTGTGTAATCTAATAAAGAATTTAATTTAATTTTATTTGGTATCAAAAAAATTGCATTTCGCCAACAAATATTAAATACCTATATTTACAAATAATTAAAACCACTTTTTTCAACAAATAGACTATATCTCGAAAACTGTGCTTCTTTCATAACTTTTGACGGCATTTTCGGATTCAGCAAAGAATTTTACATAGGAATTGAATGTTGGGGATACAAACTTTTATTTTTAATTCTTGACTAGTAAAATTAGAGCATGCTGCAAACCAAATTATATTGCGTGTAGTAGCCTACTACGAGGTAGAATCTTATTCATGAATTTCTTTTATGAGTGTTGTCTATGGTAGACTCGCAGAAGCACTGTGCACGGTTAGATAAGGGGACGCGCATAAAATTGAGTAGGCAATCGACTGGCTGAAAATTAATATGCGAGAACCGTCAAATTGATGCATTATTATGCCCAAAGGCGAACACCTTTGTATTATGTTCGTCGTCCGTTGCCTGGCTGCCTTCTTGCTCGGTTGCATCGTAGCTGCCCGTTGCCCCTTCTTCTTCTTCTTTTTCGTCTTCGTCGTCGTCTGCTTCAGACCGTTGCGGCCATACGCGACACAGATTATTCCAACTTATTACGGCGATTTTCACTTTCTTTAACTATATGCACCGTGCACAAAAAATTTAGTATCCTATGATATCAGATATCGATATCCAGGCTTGGACCAATTCTACACTATTCTGACCCAAGCTTTGAGGTCCAACTGGGCCAAGGTTAAATAAGTCTCAAAATGATAACGTTGTGCCAAGCCTGGCATAGCAGTATTGGGGCAAGGCTAACAATGAACCTCTGGGCCAGGACAATATATCGAGGCCTAGGCAAATTTTGGGTGGTAAGAACAGACCAAAGCTTGGGAGCCAAGGCTTGGTCTTAAAAGTCTTGCTGAAGCTTGGTCAGAGACTTGAAAGCCATGATTTGGTCTGAAAAGTCTGGCTGAAACTGAAGATCTAAGATCTTAGGTTGAAAGGTCAAATTTTCGGAGAATTATTTTAATCAATTTGAAGGCCCCTGATAGCATAACATTTAAAAAACAACAATAATATATTTATATATACATATTTATATTTATTTATATACCTATATATATATATATATATATATATATATGTCATTTTTTAAAATGAGAAGAACGGGATTAACTATTGATAAAAAAATATT